TGCAAACGTATGCTCGCTGTAATAGTCATCGGTTTACTGCAGACTCGACTGCGGAAGAGGATAGTTTTCAAGATATTGTGTTACTCATGAGATTATTAACTAATTTATTAATTAAAGACATATTTAACTTAAACCACGAAGTAAACCCACCAACCAATCAACTTGCGTCTGCAGCACCGGCTGTCGAGCCCGTACCAGCTACTGATGTTTTCTTGTATGGCTTAAATATAATCATGCCTATGATGACAATAAATTTGTTAAAATTTCCATCATTATGTTTGCAGTAAGTATAATTATATCTTAATACAACGCAATAAAACAAAGATAAATATTTAAATAATATATATTAAACTTTTTATTATGTTGTACATTAAAGATAACTATTTTTTTATAGGTATTTCAAAATGATAACGTTTGTATGTGATCTATGTCCTGAAAAAGTTTGTAGCCTCTCTGTTAAACTGCTGCAACAACTTTTAGCATCAGTGGAATTAGGTTTATATTCTTTCGGCAATGAGGTAGCTGGTCTTTGCTGTGATACAATTCAAGTCTTAACCAAGCATATTAAAAAAGAAGTTACGGAAGGACAGCCGCGCAAAGACATAATGGCACCTTTTCTGAACGTAAGTTCATACAAATGACTGAGACATATAACGTTCTTTTAGAATATTCAACAAATTCTAAAATATTGAATTTTTCTTTATAGTTATTAATAAGTCTTATTCTGTCACATCAAATGGATTCAGATCTGATTACACACGCCAGTCTACCTCTTTACTATCTTATATGTTGCTATCAAGAACAATATCAGCAACTCATACAGAATATTGTATCTACTCAAACGGATCTACAAGTAGCGCAAAGATTAGCGAGTTCGTTCACTGCACTGACTGCGAATGTGGATGTAGGTATAGACTTAAATGACCGTCTTCAAAGACTAAGGTTTAAAGAAAATTTCGAGAAATTTGTCGTGAACGTACAAGGATTCTTAATGGTTAAGTAAAATATAAATTAATATGTAAATAAACAAAAATAAAAGATTTATTTAAATAATATACGCGTGGATTTAGATCTTATTTAAATCTACTGTTGGGAAGTTAAATTTTCATTATGCTGTATATAGTGGGTTTCATGCTTACATTTTTTTAAATAAATAATGATATATTTTTAGAAAAATTAAACTAGTTCAGTTCATTGTCATTTTAGTAAGAAATAATTAAGTATTATAAACCGAAGTATTATATAACGAAATAAATAAACCCCTGATTAATCGGAAAATATACGAGAGCTTTTAACACGTGGATGTTATTTTAAAAAGAATTTATATTAAGCATATAAGCTTTTTATTGACCGATTTATTACACGTTACCACTTACAGTGAGCCTAGCGAAATATTCGAGTAACCATAATATAATATTTATAATAAATACTAGTTACAGCGTCAATGCACGTTTCCGATAGCAAACGGTCAAATGAAAACGCTTCGTAACGGATGTCCAGTTACCTTACAAACAAATACATTAACTTATATAACTTGGTACAGGTTGCTGTTTCGTCATTGTGTTATTCACCTCGCGATGATCGACAATGTTTCACAAAGGAATGCTTATTAAAGTATAACATTAAATTTATTTATATATTTATATAATTTATACTTTGTATTATGTATATATATAAGCGAACGTGTCCTCTCGCGCTTTCTCACATACTTTCTTCCTTTCACGCGTTTCCACTCGAATTCTCTTTCTCTCTATCGCTTTCTTTTCCTCTCTTTCCTTGTCTTTCAGTCTCTCATACATGCTCTCATTCTTACTGTGTCCGTTCTTTTCTCTCCTATATTTCATCTACTAATAGTAACAATGATTATTAATCTCTCCAACGACTTAAATGCGATGTAAATTCCTTTTGTAATATACGCATTTCTTTTTCCTTCCATTTCTTTCTTCCCTTTTTCACATTTCTTCCTCGTCGTATGTACCACATTTTCTTCTGCGGTATAGTCGATAGAGAGCCTAAAGTTCAACTTATATATTTATGTATTTATTTTTCGATATATTATATAGTGGTGTGTCATTAACAAAATAAAACTATAAGATACTACAACAGTCAGCAAGCGAAAACGGATAATCAGTGACGAGGCATTTACACTTGTGTGAAGCCGCGATCGAAGAAAGACAAAAGAAAGGATATAATCGGCCTCGGGATCGAACGCACGAAGCGTCTTTGCGACTAAAATCAAGCGAGTTCAAGATCGTCTTCCGATATCGACATCCACGTCGGAGATCACTCCCCCAGAGAATCTTGTCCCTCGAGAAACATCAAGGTACACGAAATCGATAGACCACTTCGATAGAAGGATAACATTTAAAAAAAATGTTTGCAGTTGCAAAAGGATAAGGTTCCCTGTTGAAAGAACAGTAACTAGGATACAACGTCAGTAACACTTGGGTGTTAAGAAGAGTATTATGTAGAACTTATACTGAATTGTAGACGCGCTTCCAAGCACTCACCGAATGTAAAGAAGCAATACAGATCCTAATATATATAATTATAAAAATTCGTGTACATGCATACCTTTGACTGTACAATGAGTGTTTACTCAATAAGCAGAATGTTAGCGGCATGCTAACAGCTTGCCAGCAGATTCTGCGACAGATTGGTATCAATTGCATCTGTATTAAGCTCATGATCTACCCAATAGAGCTTTTATAATCTGATAGCAAATTGTTAGCAGAGAATAAGTTAATTTATCATTTTATAGAAATTAAAATAGAATATGTTAATTAAATAGTTATGAAAGAGCAGATTCTACTCTATTTTTGCAGCTAATCTGTTATCAGATTTCATTATTGCTAATATTCTGTTAACAAAATCAATAACGGATATTTTACAAAATCTGTTCAGTGAGCAAAATTCGCGCACGTGTTCTTAGCACCAAGACACTACCGGGTCTTCTCCTGATGTTAGTTTGTCAGCAGATTGGCATCACTCGTATTAAACTCGTGATCTGTCAACAGAATCTGCTGACATGATCTAATAGTACATATATATAGAGCCAGCAAAAATTAAATAAAATCTGCTATACATTTTATAACAATTTAATTCGAATATATTATTTAAATGATTACGAAATTCTGCTCAGTTTCCGCAGTTAATCTCCCGTCATATTCTGTTAGCAAATTTCATATTTCTGTTGGCATTTTGTCAAGAGGTACAGATACTTTACAAAATATTTTTTCAGACATTTGACTATCTGGGCAATGTATTCGATGACATGGGATGGGAACAAACAAATCAGGTTTCTGCTGTGCGTGAAATGTGTCAAGACTACTTGTCGATCGTTATGAAATGCTATTATATACGTAATATCTATCAAGAAAATGAGTCTTTTGACTACATCTCGAACACCACAGTCGCGTATATCGTGAATTAATATCAAAGAGTTTTCCATGTAAGGTGCATGATAGACACATGTATTTATAATGTCGCATCTTTTATCCGAAATCTGTTACACGTAAGAGAAGTTAGTAAAAGCCTCGGAACGGGCACGCGATGCAATCGTTTATGATCTTACGGGGAAATTATCAATTCGGATTGTTCAATTTTAAAGGAATTTTCGCTTATCAATAGGTTCTCTAGAAAAGAAAAAACTGAAGAAACAGATCATTCTTTCTACTTTTGAAAAAAAAAAAATTTAGAATTGAATACTTTCTGTATAAACTTTAATTATAAATTCACTTTTTTAAAACAAGTTTTATCACCTTTTATAATTCTAATTTTATTCATTATGTTTCAACTATAAGCGAATTAACATTTTTTTAATCCGAAATTGAATATTTTCTCGTTAGACAAAATCATTAGTTCGTCGACACGTATTCGTTGCAAGTACGTTCGAGGATGCGTGTGCTATTACATAACGAATGTCTTTGAGGAGCATTGCTTAAATTCTAGTAGACATGAAAACACGATGTATCAGAATGTGGCGTCTATATCCACAGATTAACGTAATTTTATCTATTTCACATGCTGCGAGACACGGAGTACGAAAATTCTAGCTTTGTCCCAGTTCGTATCAATCATGGATCTTTATTTTGCGGTCGATTACAAATAGAAAATTTCTTATATTTGGATGCGCCACTTGCTTGCCGACTACGCGCATTTATTCGTATTTCGAAGAAGTTTTTCCAGTAATATTATTTTTCTGTTTATTAGAATATTAATTTTTTTTTATGTAGAACTCTCGCGCAATGACGCAATAACAATTTAAGATTTTATTATGATTTGCGTAAAAAAATTAAGACTTCTTATGATTTTCGTCTCAAAATTCATCAATGACAATTAACATGTTGCCAATTTTTATTGATTTAGCATTAAAATAGGAACAAATATTTTTAAAATATAGGTAAATTAAATGTATATATGCACAATATTGCAACATAACAATTAAAGAAAAAAAAATACAATTACACATCTCATAATTCCGTATTAAAATTGCAAATGAAATTCATAAATATACGCGTTGCAAGATTTTTACATTATTTTTAGACAAAGAGCAAAAATCCTTAGAAACAGAAACTTAGAAAAATCCTTAGAAACTTGATGTTCCAAACATGAATTAATAAATTTAATACGGACTCTAATGTTAACACTCAATCTAATCAAATTACATAATTTCTTTAAAAAGTTACAGGTATCAATACCAAACACATGTCTAATATAAGAAAAAGTGAAATTAAAATAATACATTGTGATAATATAAAACGCATAATTTCGCCCGCGTGAATTATATAATTATAAGGCTCAATAAAATTAAAAAATAATGCTTAATTATTGCTTGTATACTCGAGCTTTTCTTAAAGACTTTTGCTTTTCACTTTTTAACTCATTTATATAATCAAGAAGGTGGCGGCTAAGTAAATAAGTAATAGCTAAAATATGTACAGAAAATTTGCAAATATCTTAAAATAGGAGAGGATGTAAAAATTATCTTATATCGAGGGGGGGAATAATGTTTCGGTACGAATAAATATTTAGAATTACATGAAAATAAAGAATTCTACGAGTTTTATGCTTCAAGAAGTAACGATTCTCTCTCTCTCCCTTTCACTTCGTTGCTTTTTAGTTTTTACTTAAGAAAATAAAATCTTCATCGAGCGACGGCCGATCGATTGCGTGTACAGCAATATATCCGATCTTTCATACGTAAATCGGATAACCAGTATCGGTGTATGTATTTAATTTGCTTGATCGAGTGAAAGAAAACGATTATTGAACGAAATAAAAATGTAATCTTTATAAAAAATTATTTTTATTCTTTTAAACAATCGTTACGATGCTAAAATGCTTAGGCCCAGTTGCATCAACATTACTTGATTTTAAGCGATACTTAAAACTCTATCTATCTCGTATTAAAGCCGAAAGAGAGACAGTTTAAGTCTCGCTTAAAATCGAAATCACGTTGGTGCAATCGGGCCTTAGATAGAGAACTATCTTAAACGAATCTTATCAATTTATTTGAACCAGTTTACAAAATGTTAATGGTCTCTTTTTTTCACCGTTATAATTTTTCGCGTACTATGTGATCGTTAAGCTTACGTATGTGTGTGAAATTATTAATATCTTTTTATCTCTCGTTTATTTTGTTTTCTCTCTTTCTTTCTCTCTTTTCGTATTGTTTTCTTTCTCTCCCTCTCTTTCTCACTTTCTCTTCTACACATTTTCAGTGATCGTCTTAGGAATATGTTTATTTATTAGGCATAAATGCATTTTTATCTTCCTCATACGTCGTGTACATAAGAAGTATCGCGTATATGTTAATATATGCGTTACGGAAATAAAAAAAACGATTCGCGCGCGATCTCGTCTCGTCGACGTGGAGAGCATTTCGAATAAAAATTCGAAATGTACGGAGAGACTGAAAAACGAACATTTTTTTTCCAACACAGTGTGTAACTGAATGCATTTGTACGTACATTTGTAACTTCTTCGAAAGACGAGCACCATATTCCTTCTCTTTTCTCCTTTTTTCCTCACTCTGACTGCCTTGTAACGTGCTAAAGGGACGCTGTGTAAATTAAAACGTCGATATTAATATGCTGCCGATAGTCTCAAGGGACAGCTTCGCCTCCGCTTTGTCAATCAAAAAGTAGCGGGAATCGAAAGTTGCAGAAGTCTTGGGACTCTAAGGCCGAGTGTGACCAACACAGCATTTTCTCCGACGCCTTTGCTATTGCACTCGTTACCCCGGCCATAGTGTCAACCACTCACTTGGTCTGATTGTTCTGCTGCTCCAGTTGTGGTGTCATACCAATTGGCGCACCATTGCTTAAATTCGGAGCTGGACCTTTACGGGCAAGTTTCGACCTACAATAGTTATTAAGTATTCTACCTATAATTTAGTTTCTATAATTTATCATGTATAAAATAATGTGTATAATTAATTGGAATTTTCGTGATTTATATTAATATAAACGAAGCGAAATAAATTCATACTATATTATACATGCCTAATTTGACCAGCTAGAAGAGGATTAATCGCATACAGCCAGTCGTAGACCTCCTTATCACCTAAAGTCTGCAGCAAATATCCTCTGTGCTTGGTGACGACACTACATAAACAGACATTTCAGTACATGTTGCACAATCGCATTTTTACTTACTTCTTTATTCGCGAACAACTTACCTGAAAGTATTCGGTACTTTCACCATAGCCAGCTGATCTTCGGAGTATTCAACTTGAGCCGTAGCCAAATTAATTAATGCCCTTTCGACGGGATCTTTCTCCTCTCGGAAAATGAGAACATACGGTCGACGAACAGCCTGAAATGATAAAGAAGAAACGTATAGATATTGAAATCTTTTTAAAATCAATAATTTTTAAAAATAAAACTCAATATTATCACATAATATAACTTGAAAATAATTTATAATACATTATATTTAAGTACATATCTTTCTTTTCTTTTAAATTTAAATTAGATAACGGCAAAGGACGTACCACCCAGCGTTTTTTCCAGCCATTGGTTTTGTGCTCGAGAACGTTCAGGTAACCTTTCCGTGCGATTACCGGACTTATGCGTATTTCTTCCACCTCTGGCACGTACAATACCAGGTTTTCCTTCGACGGTGAGGATGATCCAAGCGGTGGCGGCGCGACAGTGCAAGTCTGATTAGCCGACTCGCTCGCCAATATGCTCTCCTGAAGTTCTTGCAGTCTAGCCCTTTCCGGCGAACTCAACCTAAGGAGACACGATTTAGACCTGCTCCTATACTATAATACCAGCAGTCTGCAAGTAACACTCCAGCATAACCCCGACCAATCATGCTAGTGGTTGTCTCGACATGTCTTGGCACTTAAGTCTCGAACTGCCACACTTTGAAACGAATGAATGCAAAAGCAGATGTCTCAAAAGCTAAATCAATTTGAGAAAGCGCGATAATATACGTTGAGTCAAGCTGAAAAAAATGTGTAATCGACCGCCCCATTACACAACAATAAGTAAAAAATGAGATCAAACACCATTTTTCATGTCTCATTTCGTACATATCGGACTGTAACAAAATTATACAGCATACATATCAGGAGTATTCGATAACGAATGAACCGAGATTTTTCGGATAATGATTTGTTTTTTCTTTTTTTTTTTTTTTTTTTTTTTTTTGAATGAACCGAGATTTTTTGAATAATGATTTTTTTTTTTTTTTTTTTTTTTTTTTTTAGAAATAAACGTAATAATATGATGAAACAAAGCATGGATAATCGCTACTAGCAAGAGCACTTAGGGGCATGCAGAGAAGGTTACTTGCTCTAAAAAATCGTTAGCTTTCGCATATACTGACTCTTGAGATGAAGACGATATAACCGAGGACATCATAGACGCGGATAAATCGGTTATAGTGTCTTCTCCGGGCGAAACATCGGATAATAATATCGGTTCCTTGCTTGGAATTCTTCCTTGGATGAGTTTAATGTACTTAGTTGTCAATTCACGTTCTCTTTCGGTCATTTCCCAGGGTTCGTAAACGTCTTTACTCGTCGAACGTTTTAGTTTTACCGGGCTGGCATGTGGCTCGTTTGTGGCCTTTGCCACCATATTACACACGTCCTGTATTAGATTTAAATTATACACAATTCTATGTTGCATTTAATAATTAATATAAAATGCGATTACCTTTTCGCTCTTCGTAAAATCGTGCAGAGGCTTATTGCAAAATGGTACTTTGTCAATGCCGAGCTTCTCTCGCAACAACAATGTATGTCGCACTCTCTCTACTTCCTCCAGCCTCGTCAACTTCTCGAGTTCCCACTGATGATCGAATATGAGACTATCTCCACGCGGTCTCCATCCGTGAAGATTCTCTTCGCCCCGAACGTATGTGGAGCTCGTGTCCAAGACGCGACGTTGACGTCTTTGAACTCCTATAAATATATATGGAGGGAAAATGGATGGAAGGGGAGGATAACAAAAAATAGGAAAAAAAACCAAAAGTATAATTAAATATAAAACCATTATTGTTTATTAAATGTTAATCGAAGAAATGTTATACTGAGAAATAGTGCAGAAGGGCAGTACTTATTAATTGTATCTTTTTGTATTAATATTAATATTTTAGAGTCAGAATAACCAACATTATCATAATGTATGACTTTAAAATAATCAAAAGTATATTTAAACATTGCTTCCTTTCTTTTTTTTTTCAAATTAAGAATAATATTTTGGTTTCAACGTTTAAAAAGTCATTAAAAAGATATATCTTTTAAGTAGATGTAGATAAAAGATATGTCGCGGATAGAATAATATAGTTTGAAAAGTGAGACGTTATTCTATTTGAATGTGATGTTAAGTAGAACACGGGACTACGCTATGGTTAGACATAACAAACCTGGGCTACCTGCTTCCGAAGAACGACGTAACACTAATTCGTAGACGCCGCTGAGTCGATTCGCTTCTTGGTTGCGATAGCTGCCGCTAAATAGGTGCTTGAGTGAGCGTGGCCCTACTCTCGCGTCCCTCCCATAGATGATCATGCTCAAATCTTTCGTAATAATCGCAGGTCTTCCACAATTATCCAGCTAAAACCAATACAAGTGAAAAGAATAAGAAATGTGTTTCCACAAATCATAAAAATATTTACTACGTACCTCAAGATACGCGGAGATAGTCATAAAGATTTGTTCTCCGTAGGATGTGACTCGATTGAGCAGAGCCGAGTTGTGCAGAGAGCTGTCCCAAGCTGCTTCGAATCTGAACATAGTCCGATCGTCTCCAGGAATTTCGAGATACTCGCCAGGGAACAAGCCCAGTGAAAGCACAGACGAGTCATTATCCTCTTCCTCAGGTTCCGGGGTGTTTCGTATACGGCCAACTACAAGTTCGCGTACGTCTTTCCATCTCAATTCGGAAGCCGGTTCGTGCACAATGGTGATTCGTATACGTCGCTGTATGCCCTGATGGAGTAGGAACAGTCCACGGCATGGTAGATCGTCGCTATGGTCCACTACCGATGGCACGTATTCGCCGTTCGGTGCCAATTCGCAGATCTCAAACCACACCAATACATCGTATTTAGCGTGTACATGCGATGTACTGGGAGACGGCAGAACACTCCCAAATTTCGGCGAACGAACTGGCTGACTGATCGGTATGGATGGTGGTAGCATCCTCTTCGGTGGTTGTCGTACACTGCTATGTGAATACAAATGTGATTATGACATTTTTTTATGACGCAAAATTTAAAAGAACTAGTGTTTATGATTAGCACTCACTATTCCAGTTTCGCATCTTTGTGCAACGGATGTTGCTGATAATGGCCAAATACTTCGAAGACAATAGGTTGAGTCTTCAGATATTCCAAGAAGGATTTCGTAACCGTGACTGTAATCTGTATTAATAGAGAGATATTATTGATTAGCAAACTTTAATTTTTACCAAATTTTAGACCTGAGTTTTCTCTATATTCAACTTACGTTCTGTACGTGATAAAATCCAGGTGGATTACCCTTGCCCGTGTTCTTTACCGGCTCTGTCGAGAAAGCTTCATCGTGTCGATGTAGAAAGCTGTAAAAGTAATTACCCGAGGAACACACCAAGTCAAGAGAAAGTCAAAATGACGAATTTTAATGTCAAAATGATTTTTTTTTTACAAAATTTGACTATTTGTTGACTTTAAGTATTTAGATAAAGTCTTTTGGACACCATATTGATTTCTCGTTAACTTGCGTGTTCCTTGTGAGGATATGTTATGTTAAAATAAGAAATAAACACTTACTTGAACTGACAGAAAATGTCAGCGTACTCCGTGGAAATACCCATAGCTTGTAGGACCGTTACCCTGAAAGTGAATTCTGCACCGGGTTGCAAGTGATCCGGCAATTCTTCCTCCTTCATATCACTCGAAACTGAGCTATCACCTCTGCCGCTGTCGGCATCTCCTATATCGTCCTCGTCTTTCATATCCTTCGGATTAATCTCGTTATGTCCTTCGACTACGCGCTCTTCGTGCAGCATAATCTGTCGATTTTTCTCTAGAGTCGGAGCCAGTAGCGAGTTGCGTTTATTATGTTTATGCCCGCCGAACAAGTCGTCCTCGAAGGAGATTCGAGCTGATTGTCTGACGCCACTTGAGTATTCACTGTTTTCCTCTTCTAGAAGAAGGGTTCGTTATGTACATCTTATATACGCGACAGACGCGAAACGCAGATACGTTACGCACCAACTACGGCTTGTACAGCGACTCGCAAGTAACCCTTAACATCACCCTTCTCGTTCACGATAGCCACTTTGTGGATCAATGGCACCGGGTACATGAGATTACTCAGATATACGAAAGCTCTGAAAAATTTTATATTAGATTAGCATAATAATCAAAAGCAAAAAGATAAGAAAAAACCAGGAAAATCATAATGACATTTAAATTACGTTCGTTTACCTGCCGACCATGCGGAACCACGGAAATCGGTCATAAAATGGATCGCCTCCCGTGATAGATTCGATATTGAAGTCTGGAGACGTCGGGGAGAGCTCGGCCTCGTTATGATACATCTCGCGCATCAGTTCTAGCCTTTGCCTGAAAAGCAGATGGAATTATCGTTTGCTGCTATTTCCAATAGAAAGAATCAAGTTATGCGAATGCAATTGTAACTCGTGTGTTAAGTCGTCCAAGTGTGTTTTAGTTCATCTAAAATTTCTTTGTTTAGATTTTATTGGATATTTGGTATTCAACATTTTTTACCCTTTACTTATATGTTTTAGCAGAAAATTAAGTATGCACGCACGCACGCACGCACACACACATGTAAAAATCAAATTTTATATATATATATTAATATATTGTTCATGGCTGCGAGTTTGAATAATTTTTTGTTTCATAATAAGGGTAAATGTTATAATATTTATATTATATTTGTAAGCAAGCGCTATGTAACAATTGATAAAAAGATATTGAAATATACATACATTTGTTATAAAGAGTATCGAGTCTTCTATTTACGCGTTTATATATATATTTTTTTTCATCACTTTCTTGATCGAGCTGATTAAATGTACGTGCATGACAAAATTGGAAAGCGAAATAGTGAGGACACGAGCTCAGCAGAAGATGATTAGAAGATGTGTCAGTGTTAAGATAGACGTGCATAGAATGCGACGAGACGCTTTTCTTTACATTCAGATAGCAATAGAGATATCCACAGCAGCGGAAGCAGTGCTGCGTCAACGATGGCATGACTTTTGGCGAGACGAGGACTCGTACTCATTCCAATTCGATTTGCGTCGTTTGCGCTACAAATCTATCAAAGGAAACCATGCAGATTCAACCGATAAGTTTTGCAAGTTCAAAGTGCAAAGCCCGTTTCGTTTGTATCCGCGCCGGAGGGTATAGCGTTACCATATATTGAGAAAAGCCTCTCAAGACAGACAGAGCAAAGGACGATAAAACGCACGGTGATGAAAACGGACTTTTGCGCCAGCGATAAGGAGAATCTTCGAAGGCCGAGGGCGTTTAAAGCGTATTACATGGCGAAGAGGAGAGCCTCGCGCATTCGAGCACCAACCTCGAAGGCAAAAGATTTGCGAGCGAGAACTTCGGATTAGAGTAGACCGTAAGGCATTGGAAAATATCCTCTTTGGCCTCCGGAGTGCTGGGGCTCGAGTCCTCGTTGTACACATGTCGCATCAGCTCCAAGCGCTGTCTACAAGTTATACATGTCATTACTTCGCGTGAGTGGGCCGTGCGATTTTTTCAGCGGGACGAATGTGGATCGAGTTTTACTTTAGTATAAGCTGCGAATTCACTCTCGCTCGATTAACGAAAAAAGGCCCGCGACTCAAAATTCAACTCGTATCTATGCAATGCATAGTGCGCACGGAAGAATTTTTGATCACATCGCGACTGCATTTTGTTATAAAAATGTTAAAATATAAAAGTATAAGTGGCCTAAGAGAAAAATAAACAATAAGGCATACGCCAAACAATATTAAATTTTTATATTACTTTTAACATGGGTCGATATAATCTTCATAGTTTTCATTGAGCGCGAAAAGTGCATTCGTGCGACGATAACGAAACAGAAAAGAAATTGTCGAACATTGGATGAAAAAAATGATCTTGTTTCAGTTATAATGAGGAATTGAAACACAATTGTAGAAAACGTGCTAGATGAATGTATAAATTGGATGATTTAATGCCATTGTAATTTAGTTACAAATTACTCCATAAACCATTTGATTTTGTTGGCAAATTGGTGATTATTAATAAAAATTATTTCTTTTTTTCTTAGCGGTAAAATACATTTTATCTGTACCAGCACGAATGCTCTGTTGATTAAACAAGTGCCGTCGTAAAATGTAAAATGAAGCAATAAAGCAAACCTTAGCTTGTCCAAGGTCCAGTAATGCGTGGCACCATTTTTCATATCTTGAACTTCTACGGCAACAATCGTGCGTGGGAATGGTCTTTCATCCTCCTCTTCTTCATCCATAACGGGCAAGAGATCCGAAGGTAGAGGCGAATAAAGAGTGTCCGTAAGTAAGGTAAATTGGAATTGAACCTAAACAAAAAATTAATGTTATAAAACCGGTTACACAACGGAAATACCTTTTCCTTGGTTTTTAAAATATTCACATATTTAATAGATATCATTTTTATGTAAATTTTCTTTGGCAATATTAATTTTGCAAATTATTATTACATTCGAAAAAGCATATAGATTGCGCGAAGGTAATACGGATAAACGTAATAATCGTGTCGTTATTGACATTAAAAGAAGTTCAAAGTTCATATTCGAAACGATACGGGAATAGAGGTGCAGAGGTAATAAACGCAAGTGAAAGAAAGCCGTGCCAAGAATTTTCCGTCGTACATCCGCGATTATACCTTCTTTTTTAGTTCAACAGATATAGCATTAGCCTCTTTAAGGAATATCGCGTTGCCCCAAAGATCGTCCCGTAAACTTGTGAATTGATGATATTTCCACTTGCGGAAGGCCCAAGCGGCCAGTTGAAACTCTCTCTCAGTCCAGTTGCTCTCTGCGTCAAACAATGGGTTGACTGAAATGCAAGCCATTACGAGAAAAAACAGTCAGAGAAGCCAAGCGTTTGATGAAATAATACTAGTTACTTTATTGACACTTTGACTGTCATATCATTCATATTTGGGTGGCGTATAAAATTTATAAGAATCTCATTATTCATTTGTGAACGGCAATTTTATATATTTATTACTTTATTAATTATTTAAAGAAATAATATAAATTATTTAAAAAAATCATTTTCGATCAAAGCAAGTGCTTGATAACATCCATATTTCAATATATATTCAATACATAAATACAAGTCTCTCTTATTTATGTTTAAACACTTCTCGGTCTATTTATATAACTTATTATTGTAATATAAATTATATTAAGACATAAAAAACAACAAATTATTAAAACAATATACTAGATTTATTAAGCTCACAATTTAGTGTTGAAATCAAAGTGTCAAGTATATTTCAAATGTGCTATGTCTCATCGACAACATACAATATAAGGCGCTGTACAATAGCATGCAGTAAATTTTTGATGATGTGAAAGACATTTGTAAATCTGAAGAGTTACGTGAAAGATACAATAGAACGAAGCCCAGTCGATCAGGCATAGCTATACTAAAACATATTAAGAAAGCGACATATTTTTCCATACTCACCGAAAATATCTTCCTCGATGTTGTTGAAATCTTCTGGCGTGTAACTGCTATACATAGACATTGTCATACTTTGTTCTTCCACTTGTCGCTGTAATGCATCTATTCGTGCTTCGTAGCTCTATTCACAGTAATAATCATTGTCACAATTAAATGATGAATTAAAAAGACACGATGTATGCATTCGTATTATACGTACCTTTCGCTGCTCTTCAAACAATTGATCAGCTTCCTCCTTCTCTTTACGGAACTGTTCCTCCAGTACAAGTAATCTCTTTTCCATTTCAGCCTTTAAATCGATTCCCTGTTTTTCTAATAGCTCGACCTGTGCAAAATTCCAGTCCGCTAATGGTTCGTTATTTCCGGGAGTTTCTGCCGGCGATCCGTTCGCTATCCGTTCACGTACTATTTAATTAAACATAGAGATATATTTTATTCATACATTTCAAGAAATGTCTATAATGCATTAACAAATAAATCCGAGTATTGCATACCTTGGTCTGGATGATTAAATCGGAAAACATGGCTTTTTCCCAAGATAACACGTGAGCCAGTCGTTAAGATAAGTGGCTCGGTTACTTCGCGACCGTTGACATAAATCAAAGCTCCGTTCTTTGGTATAAGAGTTATAATCCCCTCGTGATTCTCGAAAACGCAGTGCTCCCTAAGTATGTGTGGACCACACAGCTGGATATCCTGAGGTACGTGCGCCTCGGCACTACCAATACGTGTGAATCCGTCCTTGATGTAATATATCAAACATTCTGACATGAGAGGATCCTCGTTTAAATTCACCAAGTGCGGTGTCTTCTTAGGAGAGAAGACGCCTACTGTGACGCCATCCTCTTTCACAGCGACTCCCATTTCGGCGAATACTGCCTCGCGTTGTAAGCGAATCGATTCGGTTCGCTTCAGCTTCTCTTCCCATGTTTCGTTCAGTTCTAAAACAAAAGTAGAATCAAATACTTAATAATTAAAATACTTACTATAAAGACACTTGTTAATTTTTGCGCTGTGTATTTATAATTAATTATCAATGAGATAAGAATAGAAAAGACTATCAGAATAATCGTAGTTTGCAGTTACGAACCTGCGATTAATTTTTCAGACGCTTGTAATTGTTCAACCGCCTCTTCGGCAATGGTGGATGTAGTATGTGAAGAAATTCTTGATCGAGTTTCTTTAGTGTCTTCTTCGTTTCGCTTGTTCGTTCTGATAATTTCATCTCCTGTAAAGTGAGGATCGTTAGGAATCGACAAAATGGCTGTAATATTTAAAATAGCAAGGCTGCGTCAGAGTCGGTATCGTGAGTCGTAAAAACATCAAAAGCCATAATTAAAGCAGTAGATGAAGAGAAGTATTTCAGAAGCTGTAAAGTTTGTATTGTTGCTACATATTCATTCTAAAAACGTAGAAACATAACTGATTGATATTTTTTTACAGAGCACCGGCATGCTCTAATGAATATAAGCATGACCTAATCGCCGTTTGATATCTATTATATGCACTTTCGATTATAAATTCAATTAATATGGCATCCTTATCGTGTCACATATTTTTCTCTTTCATAAATGTACCTAATATTTTATTTTTAAAATATATTTTTGCTTTTATATAAACAGAAGCATAATGAATTATATTAGTTTAGATTTTTATTTAAATTTTCAGAATTGTGTCAAAGAGTTGCTAATTATATGAAATATAATATATGAGAGAGGGGGGCGCAATCAATAGACATTAACAAGACAAATACATACAAATGTAAATGATGAAAAAGAAATTCGCGAAGCAAACGTACAAAAATAAGACGATTGACATATATGTATTAATTTGACAAGTATTATGCGCTTAGCGATAAAATAAGAGCGCATAAACAAAATAAAACAATAAAATATCTACGAAAGAGGGTTGCGCAATTGATGCCTGTCTTGGCTGTATTTTTTTGCTTGCAATGGATTGTTAGCATTTTTACTTACTAGGTTCTTTCTTTTCGTATGTAACTTTGCCATCTGGCCCTACGTCGAGCGCAAGGAAAACAAAGAAAATACTATGTGAATGGGTTGCCTGTCGCGCGCTGTGTAATTGCAATTAGTTTATAGCAGCCAAGAATTCACGTATGCGACACGTACATTATGATTCTCTCTGAACAATTTCTGTTATAATCTATATAATTATTATTATTATATTAGTCAATAATTGACATAATAGATAAAATGAGTTATATTTATGATGAATAACACTTTAATATTCTGCACATTCCGTGAATTTAAATAGGCGATTTTAATTTAAAATATTTTTTATTTATATTTAATCGTTATATATTCAATTAAGAATATCTATATGCAGTCTGTCCTCGTCTGTATATGCTTTCTATAATTAAAAGGTCCTCTAATTTGATTTAACGTAATAATTTCTAATAATTTTTTAAAAACTAATATCTTTAATTTACCTTCTTGTACGTCGATACCCTCCTGTTTTAGAAGTTCCCGCAATTTCTGTATCTCTTCCTTGAGTTCTCTGATAAGTCTCGCATTCGCGTCTTCGTTGACCACGGCTTTGCAGACAATTTGTTTCGCTCTGTCCGCGTACCTACGAATAAAACGTAAGCCTGTTAGGTCTAAGCATTAATTAAACGCTTATTAATTAATTAATTCAAATATCAAGAATTAGTTCGAAAAATATATAGTAAATAATAAATCTTACCGTAAAGTTGAAAGCGTTTCATCGTAATTAATGTCGGCAGGACTAACTGCTGCAATCATAGCAGTTTTTGAATTTCCGCCCAAGTTCTCCCGCAACAACCATGTTAAAACAGAGTCTCTGTATGGTATAAAATCGGCTTTCTTCTTCTTTTTTGTTGCCTATAGAGAAACACAAATTTGTCGAAAATTATTATTGGTGTTTTCTATTTGGTAGTACAAATCGATATAAATCGACAAAAATGTCTTTCTACCTATGTTACTCTCTAAATGTCAAGAAAAATAGAATGATTTTTGTGTCGACTTATGTCACTAAATAGGAAGCACCCAATATATATTATTACAAAATATTACAATTAAATATATTATTTTAACGTGCAATACTTATTATTATTAAATATTCTTTAAATTATAATATTAGTTTTAATGAACTTACCGCCTGACAATCCAAAGCAGCAAACAAGTAAAATAATGACATAAAAATAATACTATATAATATAAAATAATATAATAATATAAAATAAATTAATATAAAAATAATATAAAATAAATTTAGTATTTAATGTGACAGAATTGAGCAAAGTATGATACTTACAATTTCAGCAAGGGCACTGATAACCTTTCCGAGAGTCGTCAAACTCTTGTTAATGTTGGCTCCTTCTTTCAATCGTGTTCCTTTCGCACCCGTTGAATCAGCTCTCTCGGATCCGGCTAAATCGACCAGCGATATTTTACTAACTTTTTCCGTCATTAAACCAGTAATACTATCCTGTTGTTGTTGTGTAAAGAATATCGTGAAAACTGCGTGTGATCTACTAGATGTTTCATTCATGTTGGTTGCTGCGACAGTCCTAGAATATATTTTCAATAACACGTATTGCGCACAATGCTATAAAAATAATTTTTATAAAATTTTAGTTACTGAGCGTGAAACGAACCTAGCCTTGTTGCCTTCGTCTATGAGATCGTGAATGTCTTCATATGATAATACAGCTAACTTGGAAAGATCTTCGACGTAAGGTCCGTAAAGAGGGTGTTCCCTTACTCGAAGATTTCCCCTATTTTTCGGATTTAACAAATCGCGCACTCTCTCGCAATAGATTTCCATGTAACTCACTTCTACCGAGTACTTCAATCGCTCATTAGATGTGTAACTGATTTTCCTAAACAAATCCTTGCAAATTTGTGGTATTATTCCTTCCTGCCCTTCTTCTTGCTTGCCCATCATGGTGTAAGATTTACCGGCGCCAGTTTGACCGTATGCAAAAATGCAAACGTTATAGCCTGCATCACAAAATAAAATTAAGGGACTTATACCATATAAACTAATATAAATTAATCAAATTTTTTTTGCTTTGAAAGATAATGATTTTTATAAATTTATCTAAAAACTAAAATTATTAACATGTGATTATTTATAATTATATTTTATATAAAAATTATTTATTTACATCATTATTCATTTACATCGTTATTCATTTATATCTAAAATACAATATTGTCTTAATTATTTCTTTAAATGATTTTTTAAACAAATTATTAGCAAAAATGTCTTTTATGCATTGTTAATTAATATTTACCTTCAAAAGCATGTTCCAACATTTCTTCGCCGATATCTTTATAAACCATGAGCTGAGTTGAGTAATTCTCGTCATTTGGCTGTAATAATTTAAAAATTAAGCTTTACCCCAATTAAGAATAAAGATATCGCGTCAATAATTACTACAATGAAAAGGTATAGATACTTACGTCCATAGAAAAGTAGGAATAATCATAATTGAAGCTCTTGACCGCTTCTTTGCTTCCTGGTGTAGCTTTTGGATTCACTATGGCTGTAACAGTAAAAATAACGAATCAGGTATGTACACGATGAACTAATAATTATTTTATAAGTTGCTCGATTTGAACTGTATGTTAGAAGTAGTACTTACAAGTAGTACTCCCCGTCATTTCTATGATACATTGTGCCTGACGACTGATCTCACGATAGTTGAAGGGCCGTACCCTCACCGCCACCTTAACCGACGACATTTTTCCTATCTTTTTTCTTCTTTTTTTAATTCAACGTCGGATCAAACCGGCGGCGGTGCTGGGGATAGCTTCCTCTTTTGCTTGTCTCTCTGTAATAAAATAACGTCCTTTAATTGTGTCGTTATCAAATTAATCAGTTTTGCGATTAATGACATTATTGCAAGTATACGGCAAAAAAACCTGCTACGGAACTCGATCTATAGTCTTCATATCTAAGAATATATCTCAGTTATTAATATATTATTCCGATAATACTTTTCTATGGAGGTGAATAAGAAAAGAGTAAAAAGCCTAGCATATAGTTTATACGATATATTTGTGGACGGAATATTTTTCACACCTTATTAATCGTTGATCTAAATCACTGAAACCAAACAGATCACTTTACAACAGATTTATTCCTAAAGATTATATAAGATTTATATTTTTTTTGTTTATTGTTTATTGTTTATCAATTGTCCTAAAAAGATTTTAGTATTTGTTATATTTCTTTATTAAATTAAAAATACATGGTATACTTTTTCATGTCGCGAAATATTTTTCATATAGGGGCAGTTAATCGTTGATTTAAACTACTAAAACTAGATAAATAACTTTACAGTAACTCTTGTTCTTGAATATGCCGTAGTATATTTCTTTTCTTGAATTTATTTTTTATACAGGGATCGTTAATCATTAATCTAAACTACTGAAATCAAATGGATCATTCTTTATATCAGACTTATTATTAAATACTATATAATTCACAAATGTGTTTTTATCACATTTAGAATACATTATATATTTTTTATCATATGCGAAACATATTTTTTTGAGCAGGGATCGCTAATTGTTGACCTAAACCACTGAAAATAAATGGATTATTTTACATTAAATTCATTCTTAATGATCGTTATAAAAATGACCCGTACTTTTGTCAAATTTAAATTTGAATTGCGCTTCACATTATTTACATTTATGCAAATATGCTGTCTAGCGTCTCATTAGATGTAAGATTTCTACGTTCAAATGGAATTCGAGCAATTCATATAATAATTAGCCGGTCAAATGTGATAACGATCGTATATTTAGGTATATATATTTACAAGCGTTGTAGAAGACTTGTGCGGGCATTGATCCGTTCAGAAATACGTGAATTATCGAATACGGGAGAATAATTAATTAGTACTGTGACCGATCTATATTTGTAGGAAAGAGTGTCACATTAATACGAGAGACGAAATATTCATTTTGACTAATCGGCAAGCATTTGGAAAGAAGACAAACGAACTCATGGACGAAGAAAGAAAATAATCTAAACAGATCAATTCTCCAAATATTCGGTTAGTCAAATCTCACAATATCATATTATGTCAGAAAAAACTTATTTAACGAAGAATCAAGCTCGTTTAATTTTCTATAAATATTCACAAATCAATATTGTTAAGACGAATGATGGATGTCATATATTACGAAGGTATATTGACGTCATTATATATCGATGTGAGGAGTGTGTGAGATAATAAATTCATGCATTGCTAATTGGAAATTGTGCGTGTCGATAATTAAAAAAAATACGATGTATTAATATATTATATACAAATATGTCAATATTATTGCATATGTTATCAAATACGTATTGATATTGCCAAAATGTAAGAAACCATATTTTCTTTTTTGTATTATTTAACTTTGTTTATTTAAAATCATTTCGTGTGATATTTAAAAGAGCATATTAACTACAAAAAAATCTGCAAGTTGATGGATGACAACCAGTTGTCAATACTCTCGTTGAAAGAATTGAACCTGAAGGCATAGAAACTGCGCAACTTATGCGTGTAAATTAGTTATCAAGAGTTATGACGTCTTATATGAAAATTCGCATGAATGGATAATTAAGTCCAACCGATGCTAACAAGACGGAGAAGTTTCTCAATATGCGATGGTAACACGATTTAGGGAGAGACCATCTAATTAAACTTATCCTTACTTATATTCCTTCTAACAAAGAAGAGAATTATTATATTTGCTTCTCGTATAAACTATTATTCATTACTATTCGAAAAGTCTCGATTTAAATTGAGATCTAATTATTTATAAATTATGAAAAGAGATTATTATAAATGAATAATGCCTAACGAGATAATGGAAGAATAGAATAATTAGAAGAGAAAAGAAAGAGATAATAGGAAACGAAATATAATTGAAAAATTAGGAAGAATAATGAGGTATAAGGGGAGAAGATTTCTCTTTGAAATAAATATCTCGCTACTGGCAGGAAACAAAAATGTAATACATATATCACGTAATATGGATAATTTGTTAAATGTATAACGAATTTCGTAAACTTTACAAATGTTAACACTTTGATATGTGATCACTGATAGATCACTGGCGACTGACGCTATCAAAATTTTTAAACATTTATTAAATATAAGCATCTAATAGAATGTTAAATGGCAACATGTAAACACAATAATGTAAAGTAAAAAGTGTGCTGTTCAACAATAATTTTTACTTTTATTAATTATTAATCATATTGCACAATATTTTATCATTATATATGTATACATATGCTTATAAAAATTGTGTTGTAAAATGTACACGGTAAAATGTTGAAAATTTGTTGGGCAGGTAGTAGGTATGGTAAGAATATTGAAATAGGAACCGAAGGGAGCTTTGAAGCTCTAGCAGAACCTACCATTTCTCGAAGGTGTTCGGTATATAACACACAGAGGCTCGCCTAAAAGGCCGCGATGTAATAGATCGAGGGAATCAAAGGGATGAGCGCGACGATCAAATTTCCGGAAGAAACGTCCTTTCTACACAACAAGGCCGTTCCTGTAATCGACGTGCAAAACATCCATCACGGCAGCGGCGTGATCGATACAACGGCGTATCCGAGTGTAGTTCGCCGGAGGAAGGTCCAGAAGGGGTGTGAGGCGGGGAACGGCGCGGCGGGTATACGGTGTGTATATGTGGATTTTTACGATCGATCGTCTTCACGCTCGGAGGATACGACTACGACGTCGTACGGACGTCGGACTCACCTCTTCTCGACGAAAAGAGTGACGGCCAAAGGGGGGCTCGAGCGGGGGAGTGCCAAAGAAAGACCGAGGGTGTCTCGATCGCGATCAGAGATCCTTTCCCTTTCGCGTGAAGAAAAAAAATGACGTGCGAGCGGCTGGACGAAGGGAGATTCGCAGACGACGTTCCTCGCGGTACAACGGCGTTCTCCACCTTCACTCTATACGTCACTACGTCGGCCATCCACTGAACGATCCGCGACCCGCGACAACCTCAGCGGCCACGTAGACGGTCATTATAGCGCGTGTACACTCGCGCGCACGCATACGAGTTACGAACCATCCTGCACTGCTTGCTGTCCGCCGAGCGGACGGACGTTCGGCTTCGTCACCCCCGTTGCAACACCACCCCGGAGTCGTAGCGAGTGCTGACGAAGTTACACCGCGGGCGCCTGCGTGCTACCATCGTCGTCGTCGTCGTCGTCGAGGACGCGAAGTCGTGCGCGTCTATAGGGTAGGGATGCTTAAGTTTAGTAGGGTACTGCTATCTTCCTACCCCTTCGCTATCGAACCGAACTCGGGTATTGATATACTTCCGTCGAAGAAAAACGAATGTTTTGCGAAGAAAAACCGAAATGCCTGTCGCAATAATAATTAATACGATTCGTTTCGTTTTTTAAGTGCGATGACATTTATTTGATATAATAATTATAAAAATTGAAGGTTTTTATATGATTTTTCGTATTAAGTTTACAACATTAAATAAAATACTATTTATTTTTTTATATTACATAATTATCTATTTTAGAAAGTGTAAAATGTTTAACAGTTTAATCTTTCTTTTTTAATCCCTCACTTTTTTTGTCAATTAATTATTCTAAGTTATTAGTATTTCTAAACCTTCCATGTATATTCTGGAAAAGACTACGTCATTTCTTTTTATAGCTTCAGGAATTTGTATAATCCACTGGAACATTTTTACCCTCCATAAGGCTTCTTATCGTCCGTACTTAATATTCGCAAATGAATAAAAATATCCTGTATCCTATTAAATTAAAGCATCCCTAGTCGCACCCTATGTCTCAGGTTACCGTGCCATATTTTAACCACCATCAGGAAGGGGGTGGGTGCCATGGCACGCGCGCGAGCGCCTTGTAGGCTGTAGGCAGCTCCTTTCAAGGGGTTGTAATGTTTGTTCTGCCACGCGCGCAACTGCGAGCTCATGATTTCTAACGCTCAATGGTTTGAGGCACGAAACGCAAGGGTTGTGTAGGCGGACGCCGCAATATCTTTCACAAAGTGAACCGACTCCGGCTAAAAGCAAAAAAAAACGGAAGCAAGCTAATTAAAGGAGTAGGTGGCACAAATTTAAGTTTGTCAATTTTCATTACAATTCATTTCACTGGGGATTTGTTTCCTCTTTTTTTTTTTTTTTACAAATTTATTTCGTGTTCATGTATACATATGTGGAAACAAGGGAGAAAATGAACTTAATGTCTCACAGGTGCACGTTTATCTAGTTTATGTGTGCCAATGAATAGAAGATATTTCAGAGATATCGCGTCTCTCACCAACTTCCTGTACGTATGTATACGTAATAATGAAAAGTCATTTAAACTCTGAGCTTATTTTGTTAGCATAATACGCTACGCGAGTAAATTTTGATAACGGGATTATACGAGACATTGATGCAAACAAGTTTAATAAATTTTTAGGCTCGATCAAGAGTTTCCATTAGACTACATTTAAGCCCTTCTTAATTCCTACATTAATACCTTAATAGCGGAAAGGGGACAGCTATATCGGATCATGTTTAAGTAATAGGCGATTTCAATACTATAATAAATTAACATAAAGGGAATATTTATTAAACTATCAGTCGGATGTCGTGCAAAATGAAAGAAAAAACAAAACGGATAGATTTTTGTTAATATTAAATTCGCAAAATGTGCAATGTCAATAAATTAAGCAAGTAAAAATGCTCTGAATTATTTTTCTCAGCATTTTAAAACTGCAATGATTATATATCAGTGAGATGAAGTTGATTGTTTTTATATTTAGTTTTTATATGTTGTATAATTAAT